TATGAGCAACAACTATCAAACTAGTGAAGCGCGGGCTCAGCTCCAAGGTCGGCTTTGCATAGAAGAAGCCAAAGAAAGTGATCTTATGGATGGTGGTTTTGTTTGCAAGGGTCCATCTTTACCTTCCTACTAATCATATGCACACTCTGGGAACAAAGATCTCTGCCATGCTCGACTCTCAGTGAATCTCGGCATTTACTCGAGTCCTGTTAATAAACTCAACGCTGAGTAAGCAACAAAGGTTATTGGGCAACGTTCCGGTACTTCCACCTCTTGATCAGGAAACATAAGCAATGGGACATCAATGCTTGATCCCTATAGGATCTAATGTGATGATAGAATGAGGGGTTTATCTTTGCAAACCAGCCAAAAATTTCCTCCTTTTAAACAAAATCCCACATGATTAGTTCAGCAAGATTCCACATCCGCATTGGCAACGTACTTTCAGGCCGTGAAACGATTCACTTCCATTCAAAAGCTACAAAAAGGCAGCAGTTGAGCTTCTCTCACATGTGTTTCAAAGATGCTTTTTTGAAAGTTTCGTCATCCACATTATATCAACACTTTGCCATCTCACTGCAAATGTCTCTCATTCACTGCACCTGTTCCAAACTTTGAGACCCCTTCGGATGACTGTTAGACATGCTTTCAAACAACGATGGTTGGACCATGCCGATTCTATGATTCAGTTTGAGCAGATATAAAGTGTCTTTGACACATCGACCAAGCTATCAGATCCTGCAACTTGAATGACTCTCATTGTCAGATCTACAATTACTCAAGTAGCTGCTACTGAACGGCAATGGATCTGCTTACATCTGCCTGGTTGTGTGGCACCTCCAAATCGAAGGTCATCGGAGCTCCCATCTTCTGTAGATATTGGCCTTTCTTGAGCCTGGACAATAAAAAGTGGGTAGTGTTTGACCGGCGACATTCCCTTGTAAAGCTCCTTCAAATGGATTAAAAATACGTTAGGTCCTAGGAGAGGTTTAAGTAGGAGTAGTACTGTGCAGCTGATGCCATTCTGATTGGGCAGGCAAAAAAGGCAAAAATGAAAGGCAAAGCCCACGACCATGGATTGTGGGTAATGGAGCTCAAGTATGAACGACAAAGTGCTAGGTAACTGACTATTGAAGAAAAAAGCAGAAAAAATCGTCCGATATGCCCTATAGGGGGACTCCATGCCGATCGCAACTTATATGCATACAATGAAGAGAAGGCGTGTTTTTACGAACTTCCTCCTCCTTCCTGTTACTACATTATCATCTCGTTTATCTCATCAACTCAGTCTCACCATTCGGATTGGAGAGAGCTAGCAGAGGTGCTACCAGCAGAGGTACTAGAGCAACCGGGGTTGCCATGGGCCTAGTGAGGCATTAAATAATAGTAGGTCAGAGGTGAAACACGTAGTATTGACTAAGGAAAGATATAAATTAAAAACTCAGCTTAAACAGAGATTACAACACAGAAAAACTTAGGAAACACAGCTCCGGTAGCACTGAACTAGATACCCTCGTAGGACAGATCTAGGGGATAGCCGAAATGAAAAATAATTTGATAGTCGAAAGGCTTACTAGCCAAGAAGTGCGCTTGGATATTGTGTGTGTTGGTGTTTATGGACAAAGGTTATGAGTACCATTTAAGAAGTATCAGGAGCTTCGCATCTCATATAGGAAGTATCAAGGGCATTGCATCACCTCATGATCGGATGTGCACCCACTGCATCTGTCGGCCAAGATGCCCAGTCGCCACTTGCGGGGTCATAGGAGCTTACCGAGACTCCGAAACACGGGTACACCGACTTCCCACGTGGAAACGGCAAGCTAGTTGAGCGTCACATGCAAACCACAGGTGTGCGTTGAGCCAGACTGAATATCTTTGGTATTCACGTATAAACCGGTGTTGTTTAGTTGTTCAGCTTCCACCACAATTCTCGCGAATTTTCACTTTTCAAATGTATTACAGCCTCCAAGTCACAGATGTGTCGATCATCTGACACGTTTGAGGCCTTAGTTTATCGCGGAACGTGCCTTTAACTACGTTACACCATAATAATGCTATGTTCAGGAGAATTTTGAAGAGCTTCCCTCCTTCTGTAAACAGTTCAAATAGATCTCCCCTCTGCATAAACAGTGGCTGAAAAACTGTTGAAAATGCATATGCAAATGAGCCATTACTCTCTCTTCAACCTAATAAATGAGCTCTTCAAGTGGCCGCAGATGATCTTTCCTCTGACTTTCACTTTGAAGTAGCTGCTTCCACGTGCTGTACTGACTTTACAACACCTTTGTTATCTACAAAAACGCCCAGACTTCTTCTACCTTACGCTACCTTTTGTGCAGTTCTGCCATTCATTTTATTTCTACATTTCATTGCTATCCCTTAAAAAAATGTCTCTCATACATACAATGCACCTGCTCCAAAATGTTGAAGTCAGCTACTCAAGCGTTCCCTTGCCCTCAACGTGCTCATGAAAATTTTTTGTCATATTGCACCATTAAAGCTTTTTAGAACTATGGAAATACGTGGTCCTGTTTTTGCTGATTGGTATGTTGGCTGCGATCGCTGTCTATTTCCTCACCTGTTGGGCTGAATATCTGGAAGTAGTCGAGACAAAGTACGTCATTCGAGAGGAAATATACGAATCAGGTGAGTCATCCCCGGCGACAGCTGTTTTCACCTGCTCAGGATATTTGGGGTTGATGCGATTGACGTGTCGTCAGCAGGGATCTTGGTAAAAAGCAGCCGATGATGGAAATGTGTAAAGGATTCTGTGGGTCCCACCGTGAACTCTGGTGAATTGAAGTTTTTAAAACAGTAGCCCTTTTGCACCTGTCGTTTGATTCAAGGATTCATTGGGCAGGAGGTGGTGTAGTGACAAGTGGCGCGCTTACCACTCGTGCAGTCCTGGGTTCGAATCCCGGGTCGACCCCCAGGCCAACCAAGCCTTCTACCCTCCGGGGACGGTAAATTGGTACCAGATTCGTCTGGGAGGATAAAACACTGACTTGTACATCGGCTGGCCACCGCAAGTCATTGTATAGGCCACATCGCATTCAATAAGCCACTACGATTCTGAATGGAAGTAGAATGCGTGCCGCATCCCACAAAGGGATTGATCAACGGCGAAGACTTTATCCTTTATCCTTTTATGACTGTCACTGAGAATACAGAAGTAATGAGGGAGGGGGCCTAGTATCAGATCTCTCGACACCGAAAGCACTTTTTTCACTTCCCCTTCCTCGTTTTTGTCGGTGTAGATCCATGCGCTGAGTGTTCCAGGTTACCAGCTAGGGCAATGAGTAATGTCCATAACTCTGAATTGCGATCAAGCCTCGTCGTACATTGGGAATCCCCAACAATGTTTGCGTCTTTGGTCGCTCGCGGGAGGGTGGCTGCTTTTAGAGAAAATGTTTTGGCAAGAATACTGAGTCCGGCTTAACCGCAGCTTTCTGGGGAGAACTGCGAAAATTCTATAATGGGCACCATACCCTTCTCCTGTGAGTATCTGTCGATGAAGATAATTGTGTATGTACAACTTTTTAACGGTCATGTCCCCGTTGAAACAGTGGACACCAAAAGGCGAAATGCAACAAAAATGGAGGATTCTCGACATACATTAAAGTGCTTCGCCCTCGCTGAATTTCTGATTCGCCGTGAGAGTGAAGTTACTGGAAAAACAGCTGCAGATCTTTGTGAGTGAAGAAGGTTTTCGAGACCGCAATGGAAGAGAGCCAACTTGCACGTTTGGGAGAAAAAAAAAGAGGTGGTGGTCACGCTGACCGAAAGTAGGTGCAAAAATGGGTAGAACCATCGCACGCACACCACAGAAAACTGTTAAAAATGTAGGATAAGCTAGCGAAGTTGCTCCTCTGCGATTTCCATCCGATACCTTCGTGAGAGCTCTTTCCCTTAGAGACATAATGTACACTTACCTCCTGAATCCTGAAAGTTGCACGGGAACGAGGGTAGAGGTTAGTGAGGACGGGGCTGGAGGGTAGCGTTGCCCAGGTGCAAGCATAGGCATAGCCAGACGCGCTAATTGCTCCTCTCACTTCTGGTTGTTCTCTGCCGCTGATTGCGCGTTTTGCTACGGCTTGGTATCCTGTCGTGAACTACTGCACCTTAGAATAGCTCGGGCGGAGCACGGAGATGTCTCTTGGGTACCACTGCAATACAGCCTCGTTCCCGTGCCCTTTAAACCAAGAAAGGAGGGCGCTTCTGCAGCTGCAGGACTATTACCCATTGACGCCACACGGCAAGGACCGGGATCCACAAAGATGAGTGTCCTTCAACAGCTTGTTCTAAAGGAGGGGTGAAGACGAAAGCAAAGAGTGAATTTCGCCAGTTCGCCAGTTTCTCACATTTGTGAGCCCTGCAAATTCGTGTAAAGCTGCAGAATGGAAAGTAGCCCCCTTAATGTGATCTTTTACGTCTTCTTGCTGAGAATGGTATAAACCTCATTATGTTTGGGTGTATTAATTTTGTAAGAATTTACAAGTTCTTACGAGGTGGCCTGTACAAGCTTTGGTGGGGGCCATTCCACACCTTCACAAGAGGTCGCAGGTTCTAGCAGGATAACCCTCCGAGGCTAACTACGCCAGCTTTGTCCACGGAAAGTACATCGGTTGCAGTTACGTGCTCATTGCCTATGTACGATAGAGAGTTTTTTCAGCCCTTTGAGGTCACAAATCAAGTCAATTTTCTATAAACTGTTTTATCAAAATTTTATGAACCTTCACCATCTCTAACTACATTAACTATGCTCTGAAGAAGAGATGTTACTTTCAGTGAAGCATCACACGCTCATTCCATGGAATCTCACTAATTCTGATCGTGAGTTTTTAGATTTATCCCGGTTTCTGAAAGATAGCCTTCTGTGTCACTCCTGTTTGTCACCTCTTTATTGTAATACCATCTCACTGTATTTCTCTAAGCAGAGGTAGATTTTGTGTGATTCAACGTATTATATTTCTGAAGCTGAACTAGTGCCTGTGGCTCCAATGCAAACACATTTGTTCGGAAAGTGAATTCAGAAAAGTGAATTACAGATGCTCCAGTTTGTTTGGGTGTTTCTGTTAGGCGACTAGGAGAACCGCCATCACGGCTCATAGAGACATGCGCTCGACTAGTCATGATCATCTCGCTCGTCATGTTCGCCAAGGTAATGCTGGAGAATTTCACAGATTCAGAACCTCCAACTAACCTAGTCGAGATTTTATACGGAAGGCTGAATTCATACCAGTGGTCATATGGATCATTGCAATCATGGCAATGACACACATCATTCATTTAAAAAAGTTGTTTCAATAGAAATTCCATCTATTCCAAACTTCTTAAAGCCATGAGGCACGATAATTTGGTAATCCGTCAGAAATGGTGGAGTGGGGGGGGTGCTATAGTGGCGAAAGTGATGAAAAATCGGAGTTAAACGGTCAAAAGCCTGCAAACAAAGCCTCTGTTCAACACAACTCCGAAAGCAAATTTGGACGAGTTTCCCCCGTTGGCATCATGCCAATGACCGCCACGGTAGATAGGGCTGCATGTATGCACCCATATATCCATGCAGCATCGCGTCCTGCTTCATATCAATCCCTTCGCTTCATATTGTACTTCGCAATGGAAGCGATACTCTACTCTTTCGGTGGATGAGTGCCAGGGCACAGCATTCGATGGGGATTTTGGTCGAGCTTTTACGACCCCCCCCCTTTTTTTCAGGGGCTGGTACGACCCCCCCCCCCATGCTCGTACGATGTACGTCGCATGCTTATGAATGACACTGGATTGGCTGACTGTGGTTGTGGTTTATACTCGGCGAAAAAGTTGTCGAGCGGGGGTATGCTAGTAAGCATGCCGACGTACGGGCGTACACTAAGTACCTATAACACCAGAAAATTCAATGAAACTCATGAGACCCCCCCCCAAAACGTCCGCGAAAAGAAAGGAGAAAACTTACAAGCACTGTAAAGAATGATAAATTTTTCAGCCCAAATTGACCCCACACCTTTTGGCGGCCTCATACGACACCCCCATACAGAATCCCATCGAAATCTTGCCTCATGTGTGCAGCTTGATAGGGCACCTTTGTTGGAAGAGGGAGCAAGGCAGTACTTCCTCAGGGGCGCCGAATTCTGTCCCGCCAGGCGCATTAGTCCTACACGTCTTAAGGATTTATCGTGCCACATGCCTTTAATTCTGAGCATAATCGCCCTCGACCGTAGTGCGTGAATGGGCGCAGATAGATAAGATATAGTTTGATTATCGTCGCAATGAGTCGGGCGCCAGAGACGTGGATGAGCCCAGGCCCTGGCGTTTTCTACCAGTAAGCGGTGATTTTGTCGATCGATTCAGGAATAAAACCAACCCAATGTGTAGAACACGACGCGGCTGGATTCATTCCACGCCCCCTGACACCGCCCCCAACCAGATTGCGACGATATCAACTGTGCAGTGTTGTTTGCTGCAGATGCTAGGGTATGTTAGGAAGTGGGTTTGGAGCAGCGCTAGCCCTTTATTGAAGCTCCACCAACTATTGAAGCGAGCATGCTACAACAATGGGTAGAAATGAGCTGCCACCTCGCCAAACCCAGGCCCCGTTGGCAATCCTCATCATCCACAGCAAAAAGACCTTAAGTGTACATCGAAGCGGTGGCTACTTCTGCAGTCTTTTTCAAGACCTACAGACAAGTTCAGTTCCAAATTTAAGCATTTCGCTGGAACCCTAAGGCTTCTGCTCAACCTCCTCTCCCCGAAAATTTTGCGCATGTGATGTAGTTACGTAATAACAACTATCACCACGGTTTTTTTACAAAACTTTTTTCTCTTTGCAATAAGCGCCTTAGCTCAATGCTTTAGGGAGTGCGATTGGGCTGGAAGATTTGGCACATCAGAAGAATACAAGTGGACCCCGAAGAATTGGAGAACAACCCAATAAAAGTGCTTTCAGAAACTCTGCAGAAAGATTTTCTCAGCCACATCGCTGACTCAGGGCTGCCATTCTAGTTGACTAATTTGAAGTAAGCTTAACTGTTATAGTATAACTGGTAGGTATCAAATACTCGGTGATGCCAATTGGGTGAAGCCTGAAGCTCTCTTCTAGGAAAATCAATCATAGCTATCTGATCTCAAGGGAAACCTTGAGATCAGATAGCTATGATTGATTTTCCTAGAAGAGCCTTAAGCCTATGTATTGTTGAAAATCCACGATTGAGCTGGTTGTCTCACCTTCATGGCACTGGAACAGAACCAGGTGATGAATGGTTCAGCTGCAATATTCTTCGACTGCCAATTTCGACCCCCCCCCCTATCGCTGACAAAATGCCTTCTTAGCACTGTCACGAGAAGTTGGACTTGGGTGGGGGAAGTTGGAGAGGGGGGACGGTCATGACAATGGTGCCGTCACGCGCGGGGCACTGTACAGCAATGGGCGCGACACTTCGAGTTAGACT